TCCGCCATGGCCAAGACCAAAGAGCTTTCGAAGGACACCAGGAAAAGTATTGTAGACCTGCACCAGACTGGGAAGAGTGAATCTACAATAGGCAAGCAGCTTGGTGTGAAAAAATCAACTGTGGGAGCAATCATCAGAAAATGGAAGACATACAAGACCACTGATAATCTCCCTCCATCTGGGGCTCCACGCAAGATCTCATCCCGTGGGGTCAAAATGATCATGAGAACGGTGAGCAAAGATCCCAGAACCACACGGGGGACCTGGTGAATGACCTGCAGAGAGCTGGGACCAAAGTAACAAAGGTCACCATCAGTAACACACTACAACGGCAGGGAATCAAATCCCGCAGTGCCAGACGTGTTCCGCTGCTGAAGCCAGTGCATGTCCAGGCCCGTCTGAAGTTTGCCAGAGAGCACATGGATGATACAGCAGAGGATTGGGAGAATGTCATGTGGTCAGATGAAACCAAAGTAGAACTTTTTGGTATAAACTCAACTCGTCGTGTTTGGAGGAAGAAGAATACTGAGTTGCATCCCAAGAACACCATACCTACTGTGAAGCATGGGGTGGAAACATCATGCTATGGGGCTGTTTTTCTGCCAAGGGGACAGGACGACTGATCCGTGTTAAGGACAGAATGAATGGGGCCATGTATCGTGAGATTTTGAGCCAAAACCTCCTTCCATCAGTGAGAACTTTGAAGATGAAACGAGGCTGGGTCTTCCAACATGACAATGATCCAAAACACACCGCCCGGGCAACAAAGGAGTGGCTCCGTAAGAAGCATTTGAAAGTCCTGGAGTGGCCTAGCCAGTCTCCAGACCTCAACCCCATAGAAAATCTGTGGCGGGAGTTGAAAGTCCGTGTTGCTCGGCGACAGCCCCAAAACATCACTGCTCTCGAGAAGATCTGCATGGAGGAATGGGCCAAAATACCAGCTACTGTGTGTGCAAACCTGGTAAAGACCTATAGTAAACGTTTGACCTCTGTTATTGCCAACAAAGGTTATGTTACAAAGTATTGAGTTGTATTTTTGTTATTGACCAAATACTTATTTTCCACCCTGATTTACCAATAAATTCTTTACAAATCCTACCATGTGGATTCATGGATTTTTTTTTTTCACATTCTGTCTCTCACAGTTGAAGTGTACCTCTGGTGCAAATTACTGACCTCTGTCATCATTTTAGGTGGGGGAACTTGCACAATCGGTGGCTGACTAAATACTTTTTTGCCCCACTGTATTGTGGGGAGCAGCATATCTCAAAGGCACAAAGTTCCCACTCCTGTGTCACTGGCAAAATAATTCGTGTGTATTCCTCCACATAAATGAAATAAATAAATAAAATGAAGCAAACTGTTACTTGCATGAGTCTCATTATAGTGAGACAGCTGGATACAAACCCTACACGATCCCTTGGATTAAATTAGACTGAAAGTTGTTGATTAAAATTTCTAAATGGTTTTTTAAGAAACTGTAGCACTTAATATAGCAAAAAGCCATCAGACTGTTGTTATCCTGGCTCTGTGGAAAGCAGATAAACAGCTCAGGTCTTCATAAGAAAAGCACCTAAATGTGAATCTGTGACAGTTGCTGCAATTATCAAATTCAAATCCTTGGATGAAATGGATCAAGTTTCATTTAAAATGATGGATGTCTGTGTCCAGATCAGTATCTGACTGCAGTTTGCTTTTGCTGAAGATAATTTTCGTTGTTGCGTTGCTTTTTTTGGCACAGCTGCAGCTTTGCTTCATGGCCGATGTTGCAATGCCATAAATTTCAAGCTTAATTTAAATACATGTTTATCACACTTACAAATAAGCCCAGCGGAGACAAGTCACGGATGAAAGGCTAAATGCTGTTTTTATCCATCAGAGATATTTGATTGATTTGCTGATGGGAAGTTTTTGACAGATGTTTAAATACTGTTACAGTTACTTCTCAAGGCAACGTAGACCCGGGTGAGGTGGCTTCAAAATAATATTGCATTATATCAAGGTGTTTTTGTGCAAGCAGTACTTTGAGCAGTAGGGTTTAAGGATCATTATTTAATTTTTACCACAACATGTACTAATATAATGTCCTGTCAGATAGCCTTGTTGGACTGGACTGGTTCTTTTATACCTGAGCCCTCACAATGCTTTACGCACCTTTCCTTTCATACAGTCCCAATCAAAAGTTTAAGATCACTTAAGAAAGGTCAAAAATCACATTTTGATCTTTTTGATTGAGCTTCAACATGCAACAAGAAGAAATGGGAGTGAGACAAAACACTTTTTGAGCATGCAGTTTACTGAAAACAGTGCTTACACTGAAACAGGCTGTTTTACAGCTGATCAAAAGCTTAGTACCACGTGCGCTGGCAAAGGTCGGCAGCCTATTAGCCTGGGACTAATAAAGGTTATCTTAACTAATCTTATCTTTACAAGGCCAAATCTGTGCAAAATGTGGATTCAGTATACATATGTGCATAGAAGTATTTACCAGGGAAATTCAATTAAAAACAGGTTCAAAGTATTCCTTGTTTTTATTGGAAATATGGAAAAATCTAAAAGCTAAGAACTGTATGTGTCAAAGATAATAAACCCTACAACTGTGAGAAAATGTTTTTGGCAGAATGAGCTGGAGTAACTTCCTGTCACATTATTTAAGGCTTCCATGAGACTCTTCTCATCTTTGCCTCACTGCAGTTTGTTATCTACACAGATTCTTTCTCAGCACTTCATGGACTGGTGTTTGTCTTGGCGTGCAGTGTAAACTGCCTTTATACACAGGTGTGTGGTTTTCTAAACAATGGCAGTTCATGTTGCTGCAGGTTGACAGTAGTTTTGCAGAACAATTATTATTTGAGGTCTTGGTGATTCGCAATTCATGGAGTAATTCGGATTTCCACTCAGTATGTGTGTATACACCTCTCTGCATTTAATCTCTGTCTCTTCCACAGCATGTCTTTATCCTGTCTTCCTTCTCTCACCCCAAATGGTCACAGCAGATGGCCCCGCCCCTCCCTGAGCCTGGTTCTGCTGGAGGTTTCTTCCTGTTAAAAGGGAGTTTTTCCTTCCCACTGTCACCAAAGTGCTGCTCATAGGGGGTCATATGATTGTTGGGTTTTTCTCTGTATGTATTATTGTACGGTCTACCTTACAATATAAAGCACCTTGAGGTGACTGTTGTTGTGACTTGAGTGAGTCACTGGTAGGTTCACAACAATACTCATGCTATTCCTCTTCAGTGTCACTAGATGGCGTAGTAATTCCATTAAATGGAAGGTTATGCCAGTATTGTAGGCTGGGATGTAGCTGCTCGGCCATGAAACTCTCCACCAAGTGAAGTTTAGAGGTCTGTAGCGATCGACCTCTCTGCACTATGCACCTCCCTTTGTGATTTCACGTGGCCTACCACTTTGTGGCTGAGTTGCTGTCATTTCTATTTGCTTCCACTTCATTATAATACCTCTAACAGTTGACTGTGGAATATTTAGTGAGGAAATTTCACAGCTGTACTTGTTGCACATGTGGCATCCTGTCGACTTCACTGAGCTCCGGAGAGTGCCCCACATTTCTCTCACAAGTGTTTGTAGAAGCATTCTGCATGGCTATTATCACTCCTGGTTCAGGAAAGATCAGAAACATACAATACTTTGTAGTTGCCTTGTTATGTTCCTGATCTCTTCCTCGTAATTATTTTTACAAATGATGCAGTTGTGCTCATGCTAGATTTTCATACAAAGGCTGAAATAATTCAGTTTATTTGTCAAAACATGTCATAGAAAAGTATGTATGACATGTTTACATTCACCATGTACAGTAACAAAAACTGATCAGTGCAAGAACCAATGAGGAAACGTTTATTTCATTAAAGGAAAGCTGACTGCCCGTTAAAACAAATGGGAAATATTCTGTATGTTCTGAAATGGAAAGTTCTACACCTGTTGCAGTATTGTTACTCCAGCTCTTTGTGCTTTCTTTGGATTGTTACCTTGAGCTCCCACTCTGTTGTTTTTGGTCCCACTGTGTTTTAGTCTACCGATGAGAAGTAAATAAGAGAAGCCAGGTGCTAAAAAATAACCCTTAGACTCAAACGTTAGAACAGGCTTCTCCCCGCAGCACGCCGTGTAAAAAATACAAAGAAAACGGCGCCGTTACAACTTATGTCTAAAACTGTATCGTTTCATGCGTCGGTTAAAACACTCGACTCCAGCTACACGACGCCCAGCTGGAAACACTTCACACAAGTCGAGCTGCCCGAGATTCACAGACTTTACAGAAAATGTTACATTTTTGTGATTTATATCGTTATCGGACGATAGATGTCTTATATCGGGATATGAGATTCTGGACATACCGCACAGCCCTTGTCCAGAGCCAGCATTTACAGGGAGGCTCCTAATGTTTCATGAAGGATGAAGGAATCTAATCTGTATCAGCTTTGATACAGTACTAACACTCTGCTTTAGGTGTCTCTTGGTACATCTGACTGATAAGATGGGAATTTAAATTCCAATAATATACAAATATATACTTCTAAGGATATAAATAAAAATGGAATAGCAGCAAATCAGTGCACCTATTTATGTAGATATGGTCAAGATGACCAGTGTGTAAAAATCCAACATTGTTTGTAATTTCAGCTCACGTTTGAACAAAAAGACAGAAGCTGAAAGATGAGCGGCTCTGTTAACCTGAGAAGGCTGTGCAGGTTTTATCATTTTATGTGAGTTTTGTCAGTGAACGAGTACAATTTTTCAATTAAAACCGTGAAAAGTTTGCATTTATTGGTTAGTGGTGGAGAGAGACCGGGGTTTGAGCACATGCAGCACAGGGCCACTGATCAGACTCGCACCGCTGCGTTTCAGCCATGTGGTCGCCTGCTCACCCACTGAGCTAAACTGGCACACACATAAGAAAGGGTTGTTTGTTTTTTCATTTTTCTGTTCATGTTTTATCCTCTTTCTTCTGCTGTTTGTTAAACTGTTACCCATCTACTCCTCTTTCAGGTCTATTTATGATGACCAACCCAATGCCCACAAGCGCTTCATGGAAAAGCTTGATGCCAGGATCAGGAATCATGACCGTGAGATTGAAAAGATGTGCAATTTTCACCACCAAGGGTTTGTGGATGCCATCACAGAGCTCCTCAAAGTCCGTGCTGATGCAGAAAAACTGATGGTAAGAGAGATTACATTAAACATAACTAGCGACACCTAGAGGTGATAGTAAGAGAGTTCGCTTTTATTATACATTGGCTTTTTAATTTAACAGTGGGTGTGTGAACTCCTGCATTGTGAAGAAGAGAAAATTACAGCAGGATTTTTTGGGATTATTGGTAATCTGACAGTGCTCAATGATCTGAATCATAAACCTTCCTACTGGATTCAGTGAAGCTGTGATCACAAATGCCTCAGCACAGTCTGTGACTTCAGAGCCAGGCTAACGTTCCCAGTTCTTTCTTGGATTTCATTTAGAAAATTCTGACCAACGTGATGGTTTGGTTCGGAGTTATTTATTGTCACATGCGAAAGTTGAGGCTCTGGTGTGAAATTTATGGTTTTCAGGGTTTTTATCGGTTCTATGATTATTTTTTATCGTTTTTATCGTTAACTCGGTTTCTCTGGGTCTTTTCCTGTGTGTTATGAATAAATCTTTTTTTTTTTGGTACCAGTCCTGGTTTTATTTTGTTGTATTTATCTGCGACACCTTAAAGGCCGGCCTGTGGAAATATTGTCGGACATAAACTGGTCCGTGGCGCAAAAAGGTTGGAGAGCTCTGGTCTAATCAAGTTTTTCAATTTTAAAGTTTCGGTTTTGATAAACAGCCAGCTCTGGCCTAGCCCTTTTATGTTTTTGCTACCTGCAGGCTCATCCCACTGATAGTCAGACTTGAAAGGCACTATCTTGGACTGCAGCTGGGAACAGTAGTCCCTGTATTGCTTTATGTGTAAAAGCTGGGAGCTGCAGCACACTGCAAATAACATGCTGAGCTCACTGAGGCTGCAGTCCCAGGCAGGTAAGTTGAAGTCCGTCTTTGGGACGGCTTACCTCTAAACTTTCGTCTCACTCTTAGGTTTACCAGGTGTTTCTGGCCCAGGAGACCCAAGCTCTGTTCCAAAAGCCATCCTCCTTGTTGGCTGTAACTGTCAATGTCTCTATTTTTCACCTGTTTCTTTGCTGCCAAATATCACACACTGCATATAAGGAATGGCTGTAGATTGCTACATGTAGTAGGGGTGGAGGAAAAAATCGATACTGTGTAGTATCGTGATATTTTGTTTGCTAATAATGTATCGATACAGCGACAGCAGAAATCGATATTTTGTAACAAAAAAGGTTTTTGTGCTCTGACTTCAGAGCATGTTGATCCTTTTTCTGAGCAACAATCCTGACACTGTCCAAATGTGTTTAACTGTTTTTTTGGCAGCAATAAACATGACAGTTTACTTATTTTAATTTAAGACATGTTTTATTTTAATTACGTTTAAAACTTTTTTATTTAATGTAAAATTATATTTTGTTTTAATTTACTTTCAAATTCTTCAGTTGCTGAATGGGCTCCATAGTTTTCATATTGCATAGTTCAGAATAGCTGTAATTGTACCAGATGCATTCAGTTAAGTTGGACTAGACTGTAATACAAACCGTTCAGTTTGTCAACAATAAAACTGAAATGAGAGAAAGACTGAGTGTGAGACTTTGATATTAGATAAAATGAATATTGATAAAGTTTACCTTTATGTACAGAATCTGAATATCGCAAAATATTTTAAAAATTGCAATAATATCGTATCGTGGGATGTATGGTGATTCCCACTTCTAACATGTAGTGAGGTCACCTACTTTTTGTGGACTCTGCATTTAAGACTCAACAGACTTTTGGCCACATTAGTCATGTCATGGTATCATGTTAGTTTTGGAGCTAGTGAGCATATTTAGAGGTGGTGCTGTGCTCCGTTATCAGCTAAGGTTAGTGAGCTGCATTCCCAAACTGTATGGGTGCAAAGCACAGACACATATCTGCTAATTAATACAAAGTAACAGACTAAAATATCAGAATTTCACTTATCCACACCAAATCAACATCTTGGGCAGTCTTTACCATACAACAAGACAACAAAGCATACATATTTATATTTGTGTGTTGGTGTGTGTTTCAATTAATTATTCATATATTACTAAATAATACAACACAAAATTATACAGGGCATTGTTGGGATGCTACTATGGAAGTAATCCCTGAAGATGGAGTTGCATAAAGAGGATGTGGGACCTATGGATACATCGAAACCCAAAATCTGGACTAACCGCAAAACAGCTAGTAGCTCAGTGTTTCAACATCCTTAAGAAGCAACTGCTAACACAACTAGAGATTTAGGAAGGACGGCACAAATGCTACGGCAAAGGGGAGCCAGGACATCAGGTCAGGGAGGAGATAGCATCTCTACACTCTCAGATTCCCTCCTAAGAAGTACAGTAAGTTGGACATACCTGAGGCCTTGGAAACTGCCAAGCAAAGACTCGCAGTATCTCATTGGCAGGGGAACAATATGAGAACAGCCCTACCAAAGCTGGAGTCAGAGCAATACTGGAGGATTATATGGGACAAGGATGCAACACACATATGGTTGGTGGAGCTAAGAGCAAACTCCAGTAACCTCCCTGAACAGGCCTCAGTTACCATCGCACTGTCAGACATCTAAGAAAGTCTCAAGTATGAAGAGTTGGACAGCATCAATTCCTGATATGAGTCATGTCAGGAAATTGGCTAAAGAAGCTAACTGCTCTCCATGAGTGTCGCACAAATGAACTAGCTACTAAAAGATTAGACACACCAAGGATGGCTAATTGAAGACTGGACAGTCGTGATCACCCAAGGATCTTCAGAAGGGACCCATCCAACTACCGGTCAATGACCTTCCTCAGACCCAAAACATGAAAGCTCCTATCAGTCATCATAGCAGCTAAGACAAACAGGCACATGGTTCAAAACATGAGCAGGACCCGGAAGGGAATAAGCAGAAACACTGAATGGGGCCAAACACCAGTCATTCAAGACTGACAAACTGAAGAACCTGAGCACTGCCTTGATTGATTATAAGAAAGCATACAACTCAGTGCATCACACATGGATCCTGGAATGCCTAGAACTTCATCAGCAATTCAATGGGGGCAACTTCAAGCCAGTTACACAATCAGCATGAAGTGCAGGATTATTCAAAGAGATGAACCCTCTCAGCCAGGACATCAACAAGACTACGAAATAGAGGAAATGCTAGCTATCTCCCACTCATCACATGGATGACATCAAGCTATATGCCAGGAGTGAATGAGGCATTCACTTGTTCATTCATATCACTAGGACCTACAGCAATGACTTTGAAATGTCATTCAGCTGAATGGGAAGAAAAAGATCCAGACAGTCAACACCTGCTGGTTGTCAGATACCTGGTGGGATAATCAAGTGGCCACAGGAATAGGAATAGACGGGCGATCGTGGCTCAAGAGTTGGGAGTTCGCCTTGTAATCGGAAGGTTGCCGGTTCGACCCCCGTCTCGGACAGTCTCGGTCGTTGTGTCCTTGGGCAAGACGCTTCACTCGTTGCCTACTGGTGGTGGTCAGAGGGCCCGGTGGCGCCAGTGTCCGGCAGCCTCGCCTCTGTCAGTGCGCCCCAGGGTGGCTGTGGCTACAATGTAGCTGCCATCACCAGTGTGTGAATGTGTGTGTGAATGGGTGGATGACTGAATGTGTAAAGCGCTAGAATTGAAAGGTTTGTCACTGAATCTGTGAGAAAGACCCTGTCACAAGCCATTAAACTCCGTGAAAGGCCCAGTGCACAGTCGATAGGCTCAGTTCTCCATGGCCTGGTTAATGGACATGGACAATGAGCTGATTACAAGGCTGAGCAGCTGTAGAAAGGGAAAAGAGAGGGCACGAAGAGATGAGCAGAATAGACATGCAACACCAAGTATGCCAGAACCAACACTGAAGTATTCATAAAATGCATATTGAATATATCACCAATTTTCTAGGTAAATGTATTTCTACAGGTGGTATTGGTGTTAGATTCTCACAGGATGTCAGTAAAAAGCCATCCAATCCACTCATGCAAAGAAATCAATCAACAGATGTCCATAAATGATGTGTAATAATGAGAAATGACACGAGGAGAAAGTATTAAAAACGCTTACTACAATTTGTTGAATACTTTGTACAAAAGCCTTTGTTGGTCAGAATGATTCTGCACAGTCTTAAAATCCTGAATGCTTCGTGGGCCCCTTCTATGAACTTTCATCTTCATCATCCTCGTAGATGACAGCAGATATTTATCAAGAATGTCTTGGTACATTTTTCCATTCATCCTTCCTGCAATTATTTGAAATGTCCCAGTGCCGTACACAGAAAAACAGTCCCACGCCATGATGTTCCCGCCTCCAACCTCACTGTTGGTATGGTGTTTTTGGGGTGAGGCTGTTTGACCTCCATACATGGTGTGTATTATGGCTATTATAGAGGTATGTATGCTCATCTTGAGGAAGGAAGCATGTCACCCAGTGTAGCTCCCCAGAGTTTGTGTACAGAGGAGCTCTTTTAAACATGATGGATTATGTGGAATTATAAAATCTTGTGGAAGATCAATGGTAAAATGATTTAAAGTTATGTAAATTATTAAACTTGTGTCTTTTTTCCAAAGGGTCAAGTGACAGACACTAATCGAAGACTACAAGATGCAGGCAGGGAGGTACGTCCATGCTGTTCCCCTGTGAAGAAATCTGCATGTACATTTACTGCAAAGAGAGTTCCCTATAAGACATGACTGTACTTAATCCCAGTGGTGCCCTCTTTTTCACTGTCTCCAACACTGCGTTCTCTCCCACAGGTGACAGCTCAGACAGAGGAGGTGATTCGCTGTCGGGTCCAGCAGAGGAACATGGCGACCACTGTGGAGAAACTCCAACTCTGTATACCAGGTACTAATGCTGCCTCTGCTTCAGTGAGAAAGATTTTGTTGTTCAGTTTTGAACAGTGTTATCCAGCTGGCTGACCTCAGGAGTCTTTATATATATATATATATTAGGGGTGCAACGATACACAAAATTCACGGTTCGGTTCGATACTTTGGTGTCACGGTTCGATATTTTTTCGATACAAAAAAAAATGTTCATGCCTTTTTAATTTGTCATTTATTAAAATTATAAATATATATTTTAACTCAAAAGTACAGTTTTTAAATTTAACCCTAACCCTTGTGCGCGTTTTTTATTTTGACAGCGAATGCGCACCTGCGGACACTTATGTGCAGCCCTGGTTATATAGCTCGTCATATTGCAGCCACAGAAATAATTTTGTCCATGAAACCATAAAGCTGCACTTTCTTTTTGCCTTATAGTCTGATTTGTCATAACTTCTCCGTTTTGTGGTAAGCTTTTCTTTGGCTGTCACTTCTTCACCCTGACCTGTCTTATTTGGCTCAGCAGAACTAAAATATATATCCTGCTGCTTTTACACACGCACTCACATAAGCTCAGCGATTCTCTGCGCGATCAACCTCTCACATGTTTAAGCTGCGGGAGATTTCACTTGTCATTTTTGCATAGTAAGCTAACGATTAATAAGACGATGTCAGAGGAATTGGTGCACAAATTATCATCACTCACAGATCAGTGCTGTCGCTGTCTATACACAGTTCGCACGATTGCAAAGTGAAAGCAAAAAAACAAGCGCAAATTCAAACGCGATTTCAATATGTCACATATTGACAGTGGCTCACCGATGCCAATGACATAATTACCCAGCTACATTTCTGAAAGAATGCAAAAGCATTGACATATATTTTTCCTTCCTACAATAGCCCGACGGGCAGGGAAGAGATAGATTTTGGTAGCCCGACTGAAAAAAATCGCTAGCCCCAGGACGTCGGGCTAGCGATATTGCGAGCCCAGTATCTGATTGAGGAATCACTCATCTTTGGAAAAGAGAGTTTATTACAGAGAAATGTCTCTTTCCAAAATAAAAGCTATACTATCCGCTTCTTCTGGGCTATATTCTCAGCAGCATAAGGAGAATCATGTGCTAACAGCTGTCTAAATGACTCGGCTAAAGTTAGTAGCATGCTTGCTTGTTTTTGTCTGCTTCCACTTGTCTTTGCACTAGGATGATGTCGGTGTAAATGTGCAGTCATATTCGTTGTGTTCCCACTAGTGCTTTCAGGTTAATCTCGTTGAAATGACCTTAACGCCACAACACGGCAAATCTCCGTTAACGAGTTACCGCCGATCGCCCCGTGCATGGGGCTAGACGGCCAACACGTTAACGAGCTAACTGCGCTAACACACTAGCTCCCACCCATGTAATTGAGCATTGCGTGGCACATCCAACATACTGTTTTACTTTAGTCCATGACGCGCTTACCTTCAGGGTCATACGTCACATGAAAACCAAAATAATTCCAAACGCCAGATCTGAATGAGGGTGGGGGAGGTCCATGTTGCAAGGAGAGCTTAACTTCTGTCTTGCTAGCTTGCCCTGCGCTCTTCCTTCTGACTATGCTGTCTGTGTTGAGCGCTCAGTGGATCTGCGCTCGACAGTGCAGCCTAGGCGGAGTAGTCGAACGCAGATTCACTGAGCGCTCAACACAGACAGCATCGTCAGAAGGAAAGTTGATAAAATAAATTACAAATGTTGTATTGTTCGATACATATGCGTACCGAACCGAAAGCACTGTATCGAACGGTTCAATATCGATACGAATATCGTTGCACCCCTAATATATATATATATATATATATATATATATATATATATATCATAGTTTGAGTATGAGCTGTCACAACACTGTTTCCACTGCTACATGTGATTCCTTATATAAAGGAATGGAGATGTGGCATGATGCAGACTGGATGCAGATTGAATGAAGACTGGATGCAGACTGAATGCAGATTGAATGCAGACTGAATGCAGATTGAATGCAGACTGCATGCAGATTGAATGCAGACTGAATGCAGATTGAATGCAGACTGAATGCAGACTGGTTGCAGATTGAATGCAGACTGGTTGCAGATTGAATGCAGACTGGATGCAGATTGGATGCAGACTGGATGCATATTGAATGCAGGCTGGATGCAGATTGAATGCAGTGAATGCAGACTGGATGCAGACTGGATGCAGATTGAATGCAGACTGGATGCAGACTGGATGCATATTGAATGCAGTGAATGCAGATTGAATGCAGACTGGATGCAGATTGAATGCAGACTGGATGCAGTGAATGCAGACTGGATGCAGTGAATGCAGACTGGATGCAGACTGAATGCAGACTGGATGCAGACTGAATGCAGATTGGATGCAGACTAGATGCAGATTGAATGCAGACTGAATGCAGACTGGTTGCAGATTGAATGCAGACTGGATGCAGACTGAATGCAGATTGGATGCAGACTAGATGCAGATTGAATGCAGACTGAATGCAGACTGGATGCAGACTGAATTCAGACTGGATGCAGATTGAATGCAGACTGGATGCAGATTGAATGCAGACTGGATGCAGATTGAATGCAGACTGGTTGCAGATTGAATGCAGACTGGATGCAGACTGAATGCAGACTGGATGCAGACTGAATGCAGACTGGATGCAGATTGAATGCAGATTGAACGCAGACTGAATGCAGACTGGATGCAGACTGAATGCAGACTGGATGCAGATTGAATGCAGATTGAATGCAGACTGGATGCAGATTGAATGCAGACTGGTTGCAGATTGAATGCAGACTGGATGCAGACTGAATGCAGACTGGATGCAGATTGAATGCAGGCTGAATGCAGACTGGATGCAGATTGAATGCAGACTGAATGCAGACTGGTTGCAGATTGAATGCAGACTGGATGCAGACTGAATGCAGATTGAATGCAGACTGGATGCAGATTGGATGCAGACTGGATGTAGTGAATGCAGACTGGATGCAGATTGGATGCAGACTGGATGCAGACTGAATGCAGATTGGATGCAGACTGGATGCAGATTGAATGCAGTGAATGCAGACTGGATGCAGATTGAATGCAGACTGGATGCAGATTGAATACAGACTGGATGCAGATTGAATGCAGACTGGATGTAGTGAATGCAGACTGGATGCAGACTGGATGCAGATTGCATAAGCCTGCTGGTTTAGATTTTGTCTTTAATAACATGCATGCAATGTTAGAATAATATAGGTCAGTGCACATTCCATGAATACGCGGTTGTTTTTTGTGCAGGATAAAATATTTATATCCAAATATTAGTGAATGAGTTCAGTGAACATCTACCAAAAAACATTTAGAATCAACTCAGGCTGCTTATTGCTTGTTGAAGCTATTGATTATTTTAGTAATTGCATAATCTATTGATTATTCTATCGATTAATCAAGTAATCAGATAAGAAATACTTTTCTCTCATTAATGAGTCATGTTGTGAACTTTAACTACATACATCATCTGTCAAAGTCAATAATATGAGATATATATGAAACCTAAACCAAGGCATAAACTCTGAGTGTTAGTGGCCCATTTACATTTCTCTTGGCTTGTAAAAATGCTTTTATTTTTAAATATTAATGCTGTTAATTAAAACAAAATATTTCAAATTCAATCTGAAAAATATTATGGAAGTCTTAAAATGAACATGGTCTAGTACCCCCCATGCCCCCCTTTAGACTCACCCCTGTTCGCTGCAGGTATCACTTCCATGTAAAATACCGTTCGTTAGCTTATGCAGCAAGCTGTAACATTTAAACTTGGTGTCAGACTAAGTAATCAGTTCATCTGCATATTTTAATTCAACTTCTGGAGGATTACTGCAGATTTTTCTCTATGTAAAAGGGTTTATTTGTACGCTGCTTCTAAAAACGTTTGTTTTGCAGGTCTGTTTTCAGTTCTGTGGTGACAGTGGCACGCTACAGAGCTGTGCGTTAAACGAAGCATCAAAGCAAAGAATTGTGTCAAGAAATTTTTATAATCATATAATTATTTAAATTACTCGATGAATTGTTGCAGCCCTAGTTCAGTTACATTTGATCCTCTGAAAATGAGAGAATATAGATAAAAATGGCTTTAACTCATAAGCAGTTAATTCAATACTTAGTTTTAGACTCCTTGAAGTAAAGCTAAAAATCTGCACTTCAGTCACATCTGTAGTTTATAATCCACTGTGGTGAGTTTTGTAAAATTCCTCACTGACTCTTTATCAGTGTGTGGATACTGAGTCAGTTTGTTTAGACTTTAATCTTGCGTCCTGTGACTGCCTCCAGCCTTCCCAGCGTCATAAGCTGAAGAAGCTGATTATAACCTTAGTTTTTGGGTATCAAGTAAAAATTATTTATGCATGCTTTTATCTGGCATGTGTAATATTGGAACTTGTATAGCACCTAAGCTGCTGCAACAGTGATGCATCAGTGTGGAGGTCTGCAGTGCAGTGGAGCCTACTGGTAACTAAACATGTTATCACTGTAAATGTGATGTGTGATGAGCAAAACTGACTGAAATGTGTGAACTATCAAACTAATCCTGCTTCCTGTCATTGCTCCCTTTGCAGTGCTAGAAATGTACAGCAAGTTAAAGGAGCAGCTGGAATCCAAAAGGTAACCATCATAAAGCATTTCACCACAGTGTGACCTTGTTTACAGTTTTAAGTCTTTCTTTGGCAATAAAATCACAAGTAGAGAGCGATAAATACAATCAACTCGATACATCATGGTCCAATCATTTAAACACAGCTGTGTGTTGTAGTTTCACCTGATGTGTCACTGGTAAAGATAAATAAATAAAGATAAAGACATGTCAGAAAAAGATGTTATCAATGCAGGATGTAGTAGTTCATTTTTGTTAGCAGCCTGTCAGAGCACAGGGTGTACACACCTGCTGTGGGTTAGAGGTGGACTGACGTCTCAGTTATGGTCAGACGGGGACATCGTGGTGCGTCAGCTTTTATGTTACCAGCAGAGACCCTGTGACAGTGACATATGATCACATGACATGCTAACTGGTTAAAACTGGGCTGCCAAGATGTAGGAAATAGTCAGCTTTACATTCATTCTTGCATACGTAGTGACAGTGTGGCCTGGAATAAGTTGAGAGTTTATAAAGACTCCCAAAAGTTGAGTTTGTTATCATAAATCAATCTGGGAAGCCTTAAAACTGTAACAAGTTAGCTAGCTTGTAACTGTGACCTTCTTGCCAGCAAATTAAACATGTGATTATCGACTGATTAATTGACATGTTGTTGTATTTGCATTCCTTTTCTCTCTCTGTCACTTCCTGTCTGCGACACCCTGCCAACACCATGCCAAAACCAAGCCTGAACCTTCCAAAATAAGATTCAGGAAGTCATCCTTTATTGTTAATTCTAAACATTTCTAATTTCTCTTTCCAGTTTAAAATCTCACCGACTTTTCAGCTCATGTTCTGCTAGCTTGTCTAAACTTTACAAGCCTGTCTCTGTAAAGAGGGGAGGGGTGTTCACTTTGGACAGGAAATATTGACCCTTTCTTGTTCATTACCATGTACCAATTAAGAGACTGGAAGGAAGTGCCCTTGCTCACAGGAAGGCCCCCCTTGCTGCTGCTCTGTCACGGCTTAGCAGGGGTGGGTTTAAAAAAAAGATTTCCTGATTCAAAACGATTTTAATTTGCTGCACCCGACGGCACGTACGCACACACGCCATCAGTGCTGAAAGCTGTCGTCCTGGCACTTTCTCCTTCCTCCTGACAGCGTTTACAGTTGATGAGTGTCTTCTGTTCATTTGTGTACAATACCGTTTGAACCACCAATTAGATCCATTAGATCAATTAGATCATGCTTATCAGCATCATGATGGGAGCTCAGCACGCTGACCGTTCACTGAACTCTTGTCATTTGTGCCCAGAATTAAAAAAACACAAATACTTTGTGGTTACAGAATAGACAATAAAAAGAAAATACCAAATATAGATGTACAGTGTATGTACATGCAAATATAGGTCATACTTTGTTGTTATTTATTATTTACTATCATTATATTGGGATGGGTGTTTCCCTCAGACATTTACTGTTGGCCCTGGGCTCAGTGGAGGGGTTACAGTGGGGCAAAAAAGTATTTAGTCAGCCACCGATTGTGCAAGTTCCCCCACCTAAAATGATGACAGAGGTCAGTAATTTGCACCAGAGGTACACGTCAACTGTGAGAGACAGAATGTGAAAAAAAAATCCATGAATCCACATGGTAGGATTTGTAAAGAATTTATTCGTAAATCAGGGTGGAAAATAAGTATTTGGTCAATAACAAAAATACAACTCAATACTTTGTAACATAACCTTTGTTGGCAATAACAGAGGTCAAACGTTTACTATAGGTCTTTACCAGGTTTGCACACACAGTAGCTGGTATTTTGGCCCATTCCTCCATGCAGATCTTCTCGAGAGCAGTGATGTTTTGGGGCTGTCGCCGAGCAACACGGACTTTCAACTCCCGCCACAGATTTTCTATGGGGTTGAGGTCTGGAGACTGGCTAGGCCACTCCAGGACTTTCAAATGCTTCTTACGGAGCCACTCCTTTGTTGCCCGGGCGGTGTGTTTTGGATCATTGTCATGTTGGAAGACCCAGCCTCGTTTCATCTTCAAAGTTCTCACTGATGGAAGGAGGTTTTGGCTCAAAATCTCACGATACATGGCCCCATTCATTCTGTCCTTAACACGGATCAGTCGTCCTGTCCCCTTGGCAGAAAAACAGCCCCATAGCATGATGTTTCCACCCCCATGCTTCACAGTAGGTATGGTGTTCTTGGGATGCAACTCAGTATTCTTCTTCCTCCAAACACGACGAGTTGAGTTTATACCAAAAAGTTCTACTTTGGTTTCATCTGACCACATGATATTCTCCCAATCCTCTGCTGTATCATCCATGTGCTCTCTGGCAAACTTCAGACGGGCCTGGACATGCACTGGCTTCAGCAGCGGAACACGTCTGGCACTGCGGGATTTGATTCCCTGCCGTTGTAGTGTGTTACTGATGGTGACCTTTGTTACTTTGGTCCCAGCTCTCTGCAGGTCATTCACCAGGTCCCCCCGTGTGGTTCTGGGATCTTTGCTCACCGTTCTCATGATCATTTTGACCCCACGGGATGAGATCTTGCGTGGAGCCCCAGATCGAGGGAGATTATCAGTGGTCTTGTATGTTTTCCATTTTCTGATGATTGCTCCCACAGTTGTTTTTTTCACACCAAGCTGCTTGCCTATTGTAGATTCACTCTTCCCAGTCTGGTGCAGGTCTACAATACTTTTCCTGGTGTCCTTCGAAAGCTCTTTGGTCTTGGCCATGGCGGAGTTTGGAGTCTGACTGTTTGAGGCTGTGGACAGGTGTCTTTTATACAGATGATGAGTTCAAACAGGTGCCATTCATACAGGTAACGAGTGGGGGACAGAAAAGCTTCTTACAGAAGACGTTACAGGTCTGTGAGAGCCAGAGATTTTCCTTGTTTGAGGTGACCAAATACTTATTTTCCACCCTGATTTACGAATAAATTCTTTACAAATCCTACCATGTGGATTCATGGATTTTTTTTTCACATTCTGTCTCTCACAGTTGAAGTGTACCTCTGGTGCAAATTACTGACCTCTGTCATCATTTGAAGTGGGGGAACTTGCACAATCGGTGGCTGACTAAATACTTTTTTGCCCCACTGTATATAGTTCAGATGGCCTGAAAGCACCGGGGGTCCCCCAGGTGTAGCTGGAGGATCTGAGGCTTTCTTACTGTGTATTCATTTGACAACAGAAACAGTGTTTTCTTAGTTTAATCATTCCTTGTGTTGCTACTAAGTTCCTAAGTCCATTTGAAGATTTAATGTTAAATGGTTCTAATAAGTAGCAGTAGTTCGGAGTTGTTATTACTAATGCTGTGCTGTTTACGTCTACAGATATTATGCCGCACTAAAAACCATGGAGCAGTTGGAGAAGGTCTATATCCCGAGGTAGGATCAGACGAAGGCTGCTGAAAGAATGTCACAGTAATGTTGGCTCGACATGAGAAGCTAACAGGTGTCAGACTGTTAGTCTGCCAGCTGTTGCACTGCACTGCTTTTTAAAATGTATTTCTTTATTGATTTTTTGAATGAATGTTGGATCGGACTGCTTTTCTTTTTTCATAGTTCTGATGTATCCCTTGCAGGGTCAGTCAGTACAGGTTCTGTCAGATCATGGCTGAAAATCTGCCCAGACTGAGAGAGGAGATCAAAGACATCTCCATGTCAGACCTCAAAGACTTCCTGGAGAGCATTCGAAAGCATTCAGACAAGGTTGGAGAGACTGCCATGAGACAGGTATAGAGCTTTTTCCTTTTTAAATAATTCAGGTCATAGCAGGGAAAAAAGAAGTCAAATTGCTGACGTGTGTGTTTTTGTCTTCAGGCACAGCAGCATAGGACCTTTAACAGTGCAGTAGCCAAGCAGGCCAGTATGGGCCACTACATCAAGCCCGTGTACTCTCTCAATGAGCGAACTCATGCTCACACTCCCAACGGCCTGCTGATGGATGATGACACTGGAGATGATGAGGCTGATGAAGAGGTGAGATAAGACGTGTGTGTAGCTGACGTGGCGGTGATGATCAGATACTGATGTCTTTTAAAGAACCATGGCTGACAGCATAAAGATACAAAATTAACTTTTTTCCAATGCAAATCTTTTTTTTTCATAAAAGAAGAGATTATGAAAGTTTCCACTGTTACAGGATCGTCTTTTCCTTAAACGACTGAAAGTAAAGTGCTTTGCTTCTGGACAGAGATACAAATAATAAACTTGAGTACGTCCACCTTTACTTACCAAATAAAAGCAGATTCATCTAACAAAACAAACTCAGGTACATGTATATACTTATATAATTTTTAAATTCAGCAGGTAACAGTGCATCGACCCTCTTTTTTTTTTACTGTTAATTTTCCTTCGTACTGCTGTGATGTGCAGCTCTGCTCCATGTGAGGCTAACCCACAGGTGAACGCCTGAGATTCTGCTGCCTGGCTGCTCAATCGTTCTTCCTTCTTCTCTAGTTTTCTGTTATTATATTTTCATCAGACATAACAAATGTGCAGGTGGATGTTAGTCAGTCATTAGTTACAGAGTGATCCATTTGTCATGCTGCATAATCAGGAATTCTGTAACTAAGTTTCTATAATTACATAAGACAGTTTTGTAAGCAGGTCACCTGCTAAGGTTCGTGGTTCGATCCCTGGCTGCTCAAGTCTGCGTGCCATAATGATTCCCAGTTGCTCTCCAATGCATCCATCAGAGTATGAATGTATGTGAAGCTCTATGTTAAATAGAAAGCACATAGCAAAACGTGCTTCTGTGAATGGCTGAATGAGGCACTGTGTAAATCACTTTGAGTGCTCAGAGCAGGAACGAGTCCATTTACCATGACCAAATAACCAGCATATGAAGAAGCAGTTAAAAACATTCCATTTGTGTTCTTACAGATTCTTACAGCTCAGGATCTGGTGGACTTCTCGCCCGTCTACAGGTGTCTACACATCTATACTGTGTTGGTAGGTGTCTGTGGCGAAAGCTAATAACTAATGCTATCCATTGGTCTGCCTTATTTCTCTGTTCATTGGATTTTGATTATCTAATGACAGCTATGCTAATTAAGTGGAATCAAGGTTATAGTGCTAACATCCAACGTTACCCCTGAAATACAGCACAGCTGTTTCATGATCAGCTCCAATGCTTGTGATTACATCAGAGTCTCAGCTCTCCTCTCTGGGTCACCTAAGATCTGTTTATTACCTAAGCCCCATGAAGCCCAGAGCAGGTAAAAAGGACGGGGATTCAGACACAGGAAGGTGAAGTGTGGACCCAAACGCAGACAACGAAGATGAAGGTGGATGTTGAATAGAAAGCGAGCCTTTATTTAGCGAACACAACAACAAACAAAAGCAAAGGACGACTACATGAAACCTGACAGAACAAAGGAAAACACACGCCATACATACACAGAGGATAATGAGGAAATAGGAAACAGGAGGGGAACGCAGCCGAGACTAATCAGGCATGACGAGACGGGGAGGAGAGCAAAGCTATAAACGCTAACAGGACACGGGACTGTCAAAGTAAAACAGGAAATACATGAACATAGAGACAAGGATGACTGTAGGTAACACAAGGGACCTAACAACAAAACACAACAACTAGAAATCACCAAAACACTAAAGAAGCAAGAAATACAAACTAAAAGCCACCGAGTCTCCAGACCCAGGACCAGGACAGTCTGGGATTTGATAGTACCTGAGTGTTCTGGTTTGTAACATCATGTATCATAGTTAATTGATCTATGTCTGTATTCTGTGTGTGTGCAGGGTGACCGAGAAACATTTGAGAACTACTACAGGAAACAGAGGAAAAAACAGGCCCGGCTAGTTCTGCAGCCGCAGGCTAACATGGTGAGCAACACAAGCGCTTAAACATACGTGTAAAGCATATGAATGAAATTCAGACAAGCGCTCGGGGGGTTTTCAGTGGGCCTTTCATTGTGACTACATGGCACTAAACACAGTCTGCCTTGTATTAATTTTTCCTAGAACCTGTGTATTTCTTACTATGACTAAATAGATTACTCACAGATCGTACAGCAGCTGCGATCCAGCTCTGGCAAAGCTTAGAAAACCATGACTGTTACTGTTTTTTCAGGGGGAAATAAACAGCTGTACTTTGTATTTAAAAAGTTATAAAGGATGTTTTAAAGTTTTAGGATAACATCAGGAAAAAGCAAAACAGCCCCAGAGCAAGATGCTACCACCAGCATGCTCGGTGCACAGATAGGCGGCACCATCTCAGTCCATATCTTTACTATGGAGAGTGGTGCTGGTTCATCAGCTTCCAGGTCCCAGCAGGCTTGAGCCTCGGTGGTTCCTGGGATGAAGTCACAAAGCAAAAGCCATGTCAGACAAGAGCTGCAGAAATACAACTTTTAACTTATTTTTTTCTCCCTCCTATTTCAATATTTGCCTTACTGGTGACTGTTACGTTTGCATCTGTATTAACATGGCTTTGTGTCTATTTGTGTGTGTTTAGCATGAGACAGTGGAAGGCTACAGAAGATACTTCAATCAGATTGTGGGGTAAGATGTTCCTTTCAAATGCTCATCTGGCTGTTTTGTTTCACTGTGAACCTAAATCTGTGTGTGTGTGTGTGTGTGTGTGTGTGTGTGTGTGTGTGTGTGTGTGTGTGTGTGTGTGTGGTGTGTGTGTGTGTGTGTGTGTGTGTGTGTGTGTGGTCAGGTTCTTTGTTGTAGAGGACCATATCCTCCATGCCACTCAAGGGCTGGTGACCAGAGCTTATACTGATGAACTGTGGAACATGGCGCTGTCCAAGATCATCGCTGTACTCCGGACACACTCTGTAGGAGCACACACACACACACATACACACACACACACACACACACACACACACACACACACACACACACACACACCTCTAATGTCTGCAGGGCATTGACTGTGAATGGAAAAGATGCTGTTGAGAGTTAATAGAAATGATAGTTCCTTCATTCAGTGGATGATACACCCCTCACAGGTCAGCACACCCACAAACACACTAATGATGTCACTATTAAGAGCAGAGGTCAAAACACACATACACATGCAGGCAAAGAGGAGGCCATTGTGACCTTAATGAGAGACAGATTGCAACAATAACAGCAGATAAAGAAGGCATATTCCTGCCCGCTGGAGCCCTGTCAGTTGTAAATGACCCCGAGGATTATGCTAACAGGCTGGAGAATAGGCCGCACAGCATGGGTGAGAAGACTAACAAAGACCTGGTGTCCTCTGTGCCCCTCTGCTGTGCTCTGACAAAAGCAAGTCCACATTGTCGGGCTCCCTGCACTTACAGCGAGTGCATGGTCAGCTAAAAGTAACAAGGCTGCATCAGATTGTTTAAAAAAAAAGCAAAACTAAGACATGCAGATGATATACTTAATGAGTAAAATTCTCCCAGTGCGGGTTAAATAAATACAATATGCTTTCAATAGACAACAAGTCTGAGTGCTGAGTGTCCAGTCTCAGGCTGTGTTCATATACAGCTGTGCTGCTCTCAGGGTGATAAATCGCCCTACTCTCTGGAAAAACGAGGGCCTTTGTTAATGCACTGGCTTAACTTGTTTGTCATGTAGGCAGACTTCCTATAAAAATATACCTAGTTAAAACTCTACACAGTATACAGTGCAGTTACTTCATATGTATTCAAAGGCCCAAAGTGGATCATGGAGCAGGACGATGATCCTAAGCACATAAGCAAATGTGCTGCAGAGTGTCAGGAAAGAAAAAGAATCTGAAGTGTGCTACGCCTAAACAGAGCTCAGTGAACTGAAACAATGTTGTCAACATGAGAACTTCTCACAATTACAAGTTCAGTTACTGCTAAAGGTGGTCGGACACGCTTTTGAATGACAGGGTGCTCAGTTTTCAGAGGACTGCAAAGACTCACATGAACATAGATTTAGGAAGCAAAGCAGGTAATGCGACGTTAGACCAGTGTGTGGTGATGACTCTCTTTCTGCAGTCATACTGTGACGACCCAGACTTGGTGCTGGAGCTGAAGAATCTCATAGTCATCTTTGCTGACACACTACAGGTTGGTTAAGAGTGGGACTTGACTTGTTTGTGACTCTGCCGTGTGAAAACGTGTTTTCTGACTGTGTGATGTTTGTGCAGGGGTTCGGCTTCCCGGTAAACCGTTTGTTTGACCTGCTGTTTGAGGTTAGAGACCAGTACAACGAAACCCTGCTGAAGAAATGGGCACTGGTTTTCAGGTGGCTTCACTCACGTGTGGCGTCTGCCACAGTAGGACGTGCAGAAACACAAATGACAATTGACAATAACAATTGTGTTTGCGGTAAGGCTTTCTGCTGTGACATCCCCGTCTGTATGCAGCCTGCATATTTTGTTTGAACAAAGCAGAGCAGCTAAAAACACACAACTAAAACCAGAATCAGCTTTGTTCGTACTGTTTCAGCAAAGCATCAGCACCGTGTGAGGAAGTTGTTCTTTTTTCACATCATTGATGCTGAAAATGGCACTGAGACGACATTAAACTGAACTGAACAAACAGTGGAGACCAAAGATAACTCTGATCTGTGTTCCATAGAGAGATCTTTGAACTGGACAACTACAGTCCCATCCCAGTGGAGACAGAGGAGGAATATAAACTGGTTGTCAGCCGCTTCCCTTCCACGATGCTGAGATAGAGAAGGTAATGTGTTCAAGTACCACCGTCTCCCCAATCTGGCACGGTGCATCCACGTAAAAGAAAGATTTCCTAAAAGACAACTAGTGTTGGATGAATATTAATACAGTTTTTCTGTGTGCATAAGCAGCAGGACTTCCTAAAAGCTGCCAATGTCCCAGTCTGTCCCTCAGATCTACACCCAGGTCAAAGAGTTCATTTACGCCAGCCTCAAGTTCTCCGAGTCACTACACCGCAGGTACACTACTCTGTGTTCACTCGCCACACGAACACTTATACATATCTAATCTCCCCGGACTGCCGTCTCTTCACTTTGCAACTGTCAAGTTTGTTGTGTGTCCAGTTCAACAGAGATTGATGACATGTTGCGAAAATCTACCAACCTGTTGCTGACAAGAACTCTCAGCAGTTGTCTGCAAAAACCTTATCAAAAACCTCACATAGGACTGACCGAGGTTAGAACTGCTCACACACACACAGTCGTGAAAGCATTCGGATTCAGGCTACAACTGTAACCTTGTCTCTGTAGCTGGTACAGATCATCATTAATACCACCCACCTGGAGCAGGCCTGCAGGTATCGGAGGAATTCATAACAAACATCACCAACGTCTCCCCAGAAACAGTTCACACCACAAGACTCTACGGACTGTCGACCTTCAAGTGATTTGTGCCTTTAGCAGTCACCTTCTTCATACCTCGGTTGTGATGAGTTTACTGTTAGCTTTCTTACCTCTGAGCAGTCTGGCCATTCTTTTCTGACTTCTTGCATTTTCATCCGGTGAACAGATTCACTTTTTTAGTCTAGAAACTGATATAAGAGAATCCCAGTAAATCAGCAGTTATTGAGACAAGGCCAGCCACGTTCAGAAACACCTTTGTTCATCGTTCTGATGCTCAGTTCTTCAGCAGGTCGTCTCTGCTTCCATCCCTGATTACATTCAGTTGCTGCCATGTGATTGGCAGATTAATGAGATGTTAAACGGGTGTACTTAATGAAGTGGCAGAAGTTGAAGATCTGTGTCTCCATTCCAAAAATGAATGCGTGTAGGAAGAACAATAATATTTGCTCCCATTAACTCTTGTGAAAACATTGTTCCAGGATGCTCGTCATGCTGCAGAGGGAGAGATTTATACCAAACTAACCAGAAGATCGATGAGTTCATCCAGCTAGCAGACTACGAATGGGCATGGCCGAGTCTGACGGCCGCGCCTCAGGGTATCTCATGGACCTGATCAACTTCCTACGATCTACCTTCCAGGTGTTCACACACCTCCCGTGAGTGTGAGCCGCCTCCAACCTCTACACGTTAGCTCAGCACCTCTGTCTGGAGCTGTGGAACATGAACAGTGTGGGTTGTGTTGTTATTGTCCTTTCTGTTCACACACTAGCTGTATGGCGTGCTGTGAGGTGATCTTTTGTTGATAATACGAACGCATGATTATTTTTGTTTGTTTGTTTTCCTTCCCTGACTTCCCACCATCACTCTGTTGTTTTTTACGCCCTCATAGCATTTCTGTCAGATTGTAGGTGCTGTCTGAAAAAGGTTTATACTGTGGAATCACGTTGAGCTATGTACACGTTGCAGTGCTGATTTCTGCATGATGTGCTGTTACTGGCTTGTGCAATGTTTTTGCAAACTGACATCATCTCCAACCAACGGAGCACATTAGATAGCAAAGTGTAAAGGATTTGATCAGAAACTGTTATTTGAGCTCACAGCCTGATTGGTCTGTTGGCTGTACCTGCCCTTCTCACCTGCATGTGCGACTATTTCTCCTTATTATCTCCTGCTGTGTCTCCATCCACACCTTCTGTAATGCACAGCTTTGTAACTGAATTTTTTACTCCTTGATTAATTTGACATGTCAAGCATGCAAGATATCTCTAGCTGTCCATTTATTGTTGCCACATTCTTTTCCTGTCCTTTCCCTCTTTCCCTCTCCTTCTTCCATTTTGGTTGGTTTGGGGGTTCTCTGCTCAGAATAACAACAATGACATGCATCAATGTCGGTGAGTATCCCTGCCTGGATTTATAACACTTTGCTGCTAAGCTACAGGCAGAATGGCGATACAATGCATGCTAATGTTTGCCTTCAGAAGTCCCACAACTCTAAGCTTGTGGTTCTGCCATAGACTGAATATAAAAGATTGATGTAGCCACCATGACATCACCTATGAGGTATTCCCATTGTGAGCATTTGTTTCCATTTTAGCTCTTTGAAACGGGACATTACAGGATAGGCGGACCTTACTGTGGCACAGGGGGACACTGCAGGCTAACTGGCTCAAGACTTGACAAGTCTGCAACTCAGCACTTTTGCTTTGGCTTCACTTTTCAGACATGAAAGCTATCTTTAATATACAATCTGGAACTGTTGCTAATTGAAAACATTCACAGACCATAATTACATTCAAACTTGAGCAACAGATACTTTTATCTGCGGGAAAGCTGTGAGACCAAGGATGACGTAACATCCACTGCATATGAAAGCTAAGGCCAGAATACTGCAATTCAGCTCACCTTTATTTATACAGCACCAAATCACAACAGCAGATGCCTCAAGATGCTGTACTGTAAAAGTAAAGACCCTGCCAATCAGTCTTACCTTGGCAACAATGGAAGGGAAAAACTCCCTTTAACAGGAAGAAACCTCCAGCAGGACCAGGCTCAGGAGGGCGGCACAGCCGGTTGGGTTAGGGAGGAAGCACAAAGACAGAGCCAGACATTTATAATAACTAATAATTAAATGAAGAGAGATGTGAGTGAGTGAAAGAGGTGACTGAAGAAGAAGAAAAACTACATCATGGAAATCCCAGTTTTTTCATGCAAATTGTTTCGGTGTGTTTCTTGACTCCATTTGCTTTGAAGCCAAGGTTTCATTTTTATCTGCTGTTGAAATGTTGAATGTCCTGTTAGCTTTATAAACAGTGGCACAGTGGTTAGCACTGTTGCCTCACAACATCCTGCCAGGCCTTTCTGTGTGGAGTTTGTTTATTCTAGTTTATTTTATGTCTATTATTCTTATTTTGTTTTACTATTATTTAGTTTTCATTATTGTTTAATACCTGTTTTATATTTCTTGCTGTCTGGAAATAACTTTGGTCAACTACGTTGTGTTTTTAAACTGCTCTAAAAATAGAGTTGTAATGGTTGGAAATTAGAGTCCACTGGGATCTGAGTGCAGGGTGGATATTACCTTCAGTACGGATGCCTGCTTAGAGGAAGGTAGGAAATTAAGAACAACTAAGGTCTCTGCAGCTGTCTGTGAGTTTGTTAGCAAGGGAGCATAATTCAGGCCCATCTGCAAGGTGTAAAAATGTTGTGTTCTGGCCTCACTTTCAGTGCTACAGTAAACTACATGTAACTCTGAACTTGATGCCAGTCACTGCTAACCAGGAACACCAGCTGACTGGTGTTTATATAGTGAACCTGGAAACTTCTTTGAGGCCACACCTAGCAGCTACACTCGGCACACTTTACATAAATAAAACTTCTAAACTCCAGGGAATAGATTGTTTTATACTAGCTGTACTATACTTTATGGATCAATTCAAAGTTCGTTCAAAGTTGCATTTCTAACACTTGAAGGAGATTTAACATGAAGCACTTCCAATTTGTTCAAGGTGCCCATGTGAAACAAAATCCAGGTACCAGATATTCAAATCAAATCCAAAACAAAAATCAATTTATTTATGTAGCACATTTAAAGACCGAAGTACACCAAAGTGCTTTCCAGTAAAACCATGATACAGATAAAAATCACAATATAAAATATAAATTACAGATATAAAATAATTACATAATCTAAATGCAGAGCCAGATGTAAATTACCCTAATTAGCCTCGAATGCCAGGTTAAACAAGTACGTTTTTAGACGTGATTTAAAAGATTCAATAGAATCTGATGCGTGAATGTCGAGAGGAAGATTATTCCATAATTTGGGTGCGGCAATGGCAAAGGCACAGCCTCCTCTGGTCTTCAGCCGAGACCAGGTTGCACTAAGAGCAGTTGGCCCGATGATCTGAGGGCTATACAGACAGAGGAGATCAGTAATCAGGTGCCATATTATTTAGGATTTTATAAGTAAACAATAACATTTTAAAATCAATTCGATATTTAATAGGAAGCCAATGTAAGTTGGCCAGAACAGGAGTGATAGTATCATACTTTCTAGTGCCGGTTAAGAGACTTGCTGTGGCATTTTGGACCAGCTGCAATCGCTGGAGGAGGGAAGATTGGAGGCCCAAGTAAAGAGAATTACAATAATCTAGTCTTGAAGTGATGAAAGCATGAATGAGTTTCTCCAGATCTTTGTGTGGGTTTAGCCTTAGAAATTTGGCGTAGTTGGTGGAAGCTGGTTTTTACCACAGTAGACACCTGTTTATCTAGTTTGAAGGAACTATCCATGAAAACTCCAAGATTCCTAGCAGCATCAGTGAGGTGGTTAGCAACAGGCCCGAGTGTGCCAGTCAGTTGTCTCAGAGGCATATTTCTATCAAAAACAATAATTTCTGTCTTCTTTTCATTTAAAGTAAGAGAGTTACGTGATAACCAGTCTTTCACATCCCTCAGACAATCAAACAGAGGATGTAGTGAAGATGAAACATCCCCAGTCAGGTGGAGGTAGATTTGAATATCATCAGCATAGCAGTGAAAAGAGACATTATGTTTTTCAAAAATGGAGCCCAAGGGCAGCATGTACAGGGAGAACAACACAGGACCGAGCACCGAGCCCTGGGCACTCCACAGCAAAGAGGGGCAGAAGAAGATATTTTCCCATCATGACAGAGAACGACCTCTCAGAGAAATATGATTTAAACCATGAGAGAACTTTTCCTTTAAGGCCTACTACTTGTTCTAACCTTGCCAAAAGAATATCATGGTCAACCGTGTCAAAGGTGACGTCAGATCTAATAGAACTGAGACCGCAGTGCGCCCAGAGTCAGCGATGAGAAGAAGGTCATTGAAAACTCTTAATAGGGCAGTTTCGGTGCTGT